CACACCGTTGGCAAGTTGTCTTCTCCATTAATATACACAGAAAATAAAACCTGACGTCTGCTGCAATTAGGGCAATGACATGTGATTACATGGAGTGGGAGATGATAAGTTATTTCTTAGCATGCTAGCGATCAGGGATACGATACTACGCTACAAGGGATCTATTAAAAGCCAATACAAACGCGTGGTATGGTAATCAAATGCATAAGGGCTGGCGGGAGTGGACTCCTAAGCTTACTGGCTAATCTGGTGTTTATTACATGAGTCCGGTAATACCAGGAGTGAAAATATGTGAAAGAGAACTACTCACTAGCCCCTGAAGCACTGTTGTCAGCTCTAATCTATTGATGGTGCATAGCGATGAATACATTCGTTTCTACTAGTCGGAGCGGCGAGTAGATATATTCCCTGTTTGGATTTTTAGTTGCGCATTGGCGCGGAGTAGCCTCTATTCTGACGAAGGCAGATACAGCTATACTCGCCGATGTAGGCCATGGCCATTGCTGAGTATCTTCGGGCTATCCCAAGTGAACTTCTGTTTTTTTGCAGATGATAGGCCAGTTTTTTTCATCTGTGGTTTATGGCATTGCCAGATGCATAATTCAACCGAGGCGAGCCCAACACCAGCAGCAACAAACAGAAGTTACTAGTACTTTTTTTGATTTCCTGAATTTAAAGGCCAGACTCAGAAACAAGCAGTGTTAGGGCTATCGTTTATGGTTTTGATATTGGAAAAGATGGTTTGGCTTTGTTTCTCTACAATATCGCGACGTTTTATGACGCATCCAGCCAATCCAGGCGCGGAAATTTCTACACACAACTTTCGGATTTCTGTATCTGGCTTCAGATCCACTGCGGAAATGGAATACAATTCTGAACTCGGTCTGCAACCGGGTGTAGAAAGGGTGCACACGCTTCCGCACCCGTGTGCAGAAAGTGAGGTCCTCCGTTAATGGGGTAAGCTTAAAAAGGTGGTGTGGAGCTACGTCGTTCCGAATCACCGAAGGCTGGAGAATTTGAATATGTACAGCTGTTGATGTGGCTGAGATGACCGTACGAAACCACGTATGTTCCACGTATAACTGGAGCATGTCCTAAGGGTGCAGGAGCGCATGCCGAACGACTGTCTATCATAATATGTACCGTTTCCCTTGTCTCTTTCGAAATGAAGACTGCCGAGTGCCCTGCGTGTGACATATCACAACATTTCAGAGGAGTCCATGAAGGCTTATGTTCATCTTGCTCCCACTGAAGTCAACCTCTGCTTGTTCTTGTTTGATGTTCCCATGTCTGTTTCTTGATTATTTGCTGTGATTATAAACAGCTTGTGAAGTAACTATTTCATCAATTCTCCAGGAGGTTTTTCGTAAGATGCCCCGCAGTGGCGACCTGTCTATGTCACCTGAAACTGCGGCTAACCAATAACACTGGCACTTTCATTTTGTTTCAAAGTTATTCGACTGGGCGTTCATATGTCAGTCGCTTCAGATTGCATAAAAATATTTTCAGTTGAATAACAATGGTTTAATTCATTAACCTAGGTTGAATATTACAAAATTGGTCGAAGGCGTGACAAGGGGTGACAAGTAATTTGATGGAACACAGCTATGGCCGTTCATTCCATCTCAGTTGACGACCCTGATTCATACACACGTAGTACTCTATTTTGGCCCATTCATCCTTTCAAGGGGATTCAGCTGAGCTCTGTGAGACACCAGGTGATTTAACATCCAGATCAACCAGGGCACTAAATGGCACGGTGGCAATTTTGTCGGACTACACACGATGATACAGTAAACCTCTCCTTCATGTAACCAGTTTGCTTCTCACACAGAATGTGAAATATAAAAATCACCGGAGTAGTCCGCTTCTAAACAAAGCCTCCTGTGCGAAGGAGGCATCCTTTTACTTCTTGGTGACAGTAGAGTGAGAAGTTTAAATTGTGATATGCTTCAGAATACAATGAGTAGAGTACATTTGAAGACATTTTAGCGAGAGAATTACAGAATATGAAAACGATGTGCGTAAAACTATTGACTTCTGCTGTTATTTCTTTTTCGTTGATTCCAGGGGTTTTGGGTAATTTGCGCATATAGGGAATCCATGCTTAATCGCTGATGATGTGTCTCATCCTTTTAATATGATCACCTCAGTAAGTTGCTTCGGCGTCTTCCTACCCCTACGGTTCCGGTAATTGAAAGATGATCGAAGGCTACAGTGTGCAGCATCCAGGTACCGTTAAAAGGGACCCAGAATTTTTAACATTTAGGCGTGCACCAGAAGCATGTTGCATTTCAAATGGGGGCCCAACGTTCTTCTTGAAAAACGTTAATACAGGATTCATTTAATATAAGATCACAATGGCGTCCTCTTATCCATAGTACGTGACCGACCTTTTACTTATTCAACTGAATCGCTAGTTGCAACAACATGAACATGGCTGCATCCGTGTGGCCTTCTGTGGAGCCTGTGCCAAATGTGATCCACGTTGTCTTTGTTTTAAATTCTTTCATGATTGTTCGAGGTTCTGGTTGATTTCGGGCGCTGGCCCTCCTCGTTTTTAGACATCCAAAGTTGATGTTTAGGTGAAATGCTTCTTGCATTCCCAAAAACACGACATCTGGTCTCGACCGATAATTAACGTCTGATCACAGTGTGGTCAGCGGCCTGCGGCATGGCCATCACTGTACCCGCTATTACGAAGAGAGCTATTGATTTCCACGCAGGGGAAAACACTGCTTCACCAATACATGCCTCTCTAACCTCCACTGCACCCTCATCGGTAATACATCGTTTCCGAGCTCAGCTCACATTGATTACCGGGTGACTCAGCATATTCATCTTTAGCCAGTCTAGGCCACCAACAAAACTTCACAATCAATCTTGATACCAATGGATGGATACGGTTTCTCTACAATCTTAGCTACTGAAATCATTCTAAGAGGACAGAGTAGTTTTCTTACTTAAACTGAGAGATTGCAGCCGAGTCCGTGAGATCAGTATTATTGATGGCGTGTGCATCGCCTTTATTACTTCGACATTTGAAAATTCCCATGTTTCCTTCGTTGTAGCGTGGAACGTCAGAATGTCAGTGACGTTCGGCTTTCGAGAGAATGTTGGGGCGACACACGTCGGTTCTGAGATGTGCGGGTTTAGAGGTTGGTATTACTGAATCCACACGGCACACACTCGCACAGGTCGGGTGACACAGAGGAGAAGACCGCAGCGTGGCAACAACAAACGTGTGTTCAACCAAAACCTTAAGTATCACAGGGAAAAAATAAGTCAAGGTAACTCAACTGGCTGCTCCTTTCTCTCCGACTAGTGGTGGCCCGTCAAAGGTACCTGCAATAGGGAGAGAGAGAGAAACAGGCACACATACAATGGGTCATACGATAAACCCGTGTAAGCACGTGCAGGCCAGTTTTCATTGCATTACACTGTCTTTATTTATAATTTCTCCCCCCTTTTTTGTGTTTATTGCGTGTGTATGAACCGCTGCTTTTTAGTCCCTACGACCTCACACATTTGGCCTTGAGGTCATCCAGCACTTTTTGTGGCCAACCTTATGCACGTGTGGCTGTCGCAAAAGGAGGCAATTTTGCCCCTTTGGTTTGTACTTTTGTAGTTCAGGTGGACCATTTGTTGCGGATAAGTGTCCACCATCGAGGGTGGTATATTTTGTTCACTCACATCTTACGCTAATTATACCGTATAAAATCCCTGCTCCGACTCTGCGTGGCCTTCATGGTGGCTCTGACATTACACGTCACTCGAAGATACCGTTCGCCTGTTGCTGCCTTGATTGCCCCGCTTCTAGCATGAAACCTATGGAGATTTTCGTAGGACGATTATGTTAGAGATGTAATGACACTAGCTGACGTTACGGCAGCTCTTCTAGAGCCCATCAGTTTTCTTGAGGAAACCCAAACAAGGAGACACCCGTGTCGGATGTCCAAACTCCGCATTCCGCTTACGAGCGATTGCCCAAGCACCCTTTTGTCTTCTTAGGAAGCGCACTGGTGTTACCTGCCCTTTGTCCGTCGATTTCGACCCAAGCACCCGAGGCCATTATGCTTGCTGTTCCTGACGGAATTTTTGCAGCCACTGAAATTCCATTATCAAGAGAACAAGCTCAAAATAAATCCTTGTTAGAGCAACCGCTATTCATATGACCGTTGACTTGACAGAATCCACCGAACGCCACTTTTTCTGTTTCGTCAAACCCACTAGCTCGATACCGCCGAAAGTACCGGGGGTGCCGTGTTCTCCAGAGGCAACTATGTGAGGCTTGGATTATGTCCACTTCAAATAAGACAGACCCTTTAAACTTCAAATCTCATGAACAGATTAAACTCGCACCCGATCTCATCGCGTCTGAGGCGCACCCTGTAAGCAGCTTATGCTGCTACTTCCGCAGGGTAACGTTACCTGGATCTCGGGACTTACTTTTCGTGATCAAAACGCAAATACGGACCCCAATGAAATCTCCGGCCACAGTTACAGAGTCTGTGGACACCAGGATTCCAGGCAAATACTCATGTAAATTTCATTGTATTTATTGAAACCAGTTCTGTGCTACCCAGTTGGAATTTGAGCAGGGCCCTTCTTTCCCAAAATATTACGCTGTCAACTATCTTCCAGCGCGCCACCTCGCATCAAACCGCCTACAACGACCATTCCAACCGGCCTTATCAGAGAATCCATTAAATCTATGCCGGCAACATTATTTTGTTTCGCTTTTCCCAAACACTCAGTCTGCAAAACTTTTCGTTGTCATGATGTACCGATTGAGCTACGATTCTCCACCAGCTTCGAAAGCCATACCTGTTTCGTCCGATCGTGTATTCCTAAACTATCCGTGTTCTCGTAGCACCGTTATTTCCCCGCCTAATGTGAGTCAATTTTCTCAGTTTCCATGGCGAAACTCACATGCGCACATCTACAGTGATTGTGTCAGTGGTGCGAGCGAAATCAAGAAGCCAACATGTGTTTAAGCACTATGCGACTCCTTTCGCGGATACTTCTCCGTATCTTATACGTACAGACCCCCCATTCATTCGAATATCATCCGAATTGTAAGGTACTGGCTGACTCATAAAGCATGTATCCGAATTCACTGCAACGCTGGCCACAAGGACAAGCGCCAAAAGGGCGTTCAGGGCATCCGAATCAACCGAAGAAATTATAAGGCATGTTTCCGACATGTGATCAAAGTTCTTCAAAGATCCTGTTTTTATGCCTCTAATCAAGACAGATGACAGAACTCATATCTTTTGCCCTGGGTATTAGCGATGGCCAACTAACACAGAAGGCATCCGGAACACCCGAAATTTATAATGCATGGTATCAAAGTGCCATTAACAGCAGCAAACTGCATTCCCTGAACCAATTCTCCACTCAGGCAGGATGTCCCCAAAGCACCCCTGGGGTCCGATTTGCACTTGTGTCTTCTATACCTTTTATTTTCCGTTGATGCGCCTATATTTAAATGCAGGCAGGCATACACTCGATATGTATGGGCACAAGCCTGTGGGCCAAAATATCTTGCCGTTGCCACTGAAAGTCCATCATCAAGAGAACAAGCTCAAAATAAATCCTTGTTAGAGCAACCGCTATTCATATGACCGTTGACTTGACAGAATCCACCGAACGCCACTTTTTCTGTTTCGTCAAACCCACTAGCTCGATACCGCCGAAAGTACCGGGGGTGCCGTGTTCTCCAGAGGCAACTATGTGAGGCTTGGATTATGTCCACTTCAAATAAGACAGACCCTTTAAACTTCAAATCTCATGAACAGATTAAACTCGCACCCGATCTCATCGCGTCTGAGGCGCACCCTGTAAGCAGCTTATGCTGCTACTTCCGCAGGGTAACGTTACCTGGATCTCGGGACTTACTTTTCGTGATCAAAACGCAAATACGGACCCCAATGAAATCTCCGGCCACAGTTACAGAGTCTGTGGACACCAGGATTCCAGGCAAATACTCATGTAAATTTCATTGTATTTATTGAAACCAGTTCTGTGCTACCCAGTTGGAATTTGAGCAGGGCCCTTCTTTCCCAAAATATTACGCTGTCAACTATCTTCCAGCGCGCCACCTCGCATCAAACCGCCTACAACGACCATTCCAACCGGCCTTATCAGAGAATCCATTAAATCTATGCCGGCAACATTATTTTGTTTCGCTTTTCCCAAACACTCAGTCTGCAAAACTTTTCGTTGTCATGATGTACCGATTGAGCTACGATTCTCCACCAGCTTCGAAAGCCATACCTGTTTCGTCCGATCGTGTATTCCTAAACTATCCGTGTTCTCGTAGCACCTTTATTTCCCCGCCTAATGTGAGTCAATTTTCTCAGTTTCCATGGCGAAACTCACATGCGCACATCTACAGTGATTGTGTCAGTGGTGCGAGCGAAATCAAGAAGCCAACATGTGTTTAAGCACTATGCGACTCCTTTCGCGGATACTTCTCCGTATCTTATACGTACAGACCCCCCATTCATTCGAATATCATCCGAATTGTAAGGTACTGGCTGACTCATAAAGCATGTATCCGAATTCACTGCAACGCTGGCCACAAGGACAAGCGCCAAAAGGGCGTTCAGGGCATCCGAATCAACCGAAGAAATTATAAGGCATGTTTCCGACATGTGATCAAAGTTCTTCAAAGATCCTGTTTTTATGCCTCTAATCAAGACAGATGACAGAACTCATATCTTTTGCCCTGGGTATTAGCGATGGCCAACTAACACAGAAGGCATCCGGAACACCCGAAATTTATAATGCATGGTATCAAAGTGCCATTAACAGCAGCAAACTGCATTCCCTGAACCAATTCTCCACTCAGGCAGGATGTCCCCAAAGCACCCCTGGGGTCCGATTTGCACTTGGGTCTTCTATACCTTTTATTTTCCGTTGATGCGCCTATATTTAAATGCAGGCAGGCATACACTCGATATGTATGGGCACAAGCCTGTGGGCCAAAATATCTTGCCGTTTTCCAGTGTAAACGCATGAAGATTTTTAGTGCAGTAGTAATGCTGCCTCTCATCTCACATGATATAATAAGTTCCCTTGCATATAGTTTCCTCACACGGGTTGCATCCCCTCTGACTTCTCAGATACATTCGATATGATCCCACTTTCAATAATTTTGGATTGATGTGCAGGTGTAGGTATATCCGGAGCTTTCAATAGTCTAACATCAGTCCCACATTCTTTGTCATTAATGAGTCCTCGGTCGTTCAGTCACGTGACGGATGACGTGAAACTATAGCCTAGCGATCAGCATTCCACCTTCAGATTGCGATTGAAGCCTGTTGCCGTTTGTCCCAGATCAGCCATTTTATACCCAACCCCAGATATCTGTAGAGCAATCATCTTTGATCAACAGCAGGCCACCAGATCCAGGATCATATATAACCTTGTTCCTTGCTCATTTCGAATTAAAAAACTATTTGAATATCTCGTTTCTTTCATCTTGATTTTCTTGCAATAGATGGGCCTAATTTTTATATCTTCTGGTAATTCGTCATCCGCTACCTCCTGAAGCACTCTAATTTCGTCCAGACTCCTTTTCTCATACCCGATGAGGATATCTTGAATGGTGCCCTCACTTGACAGCTTAATGAACCCAAGCAGGTTGCCCCGCCTAAACTTACCTCCTCTGACCTATCGTTGCTTGCGTGTGTGTTTCATCGGCGCCTACCGGCCCTTCCAAAACCAAACTCAAGGAAACTTCCTCACGCCACATCACTCCTGAAAGGCGTGTTCACCGGAGGAAACTGCGCCTTCAGTAGTTTATGTCAAGATCGAAAGGAACTTCGGCATTTTTATTGGCTTCATTTTAGAGGGGAGTTCCCGACTCCCTGTGACCGCATGCAGTGTGGCAAACCTTTCACTTCCACTGACAATATGAATCCGAGTCCAGACGTGACACCTCACGATCCCAGTCTACGAGCCAAATGCCTCCTATTTACATACATACTTATTGTGCTTACAATGATCGTGCGTTTTTCTGAAGGAGTTTCTAATGCAGTTTCTAATGAACTTTGCCCTGAAAAACCGCGCGCGTTACGAACATGATGGCTGATTTAAACATCCCGTGGATTTTTCCCACAAGTTGATTCACTCATTGATTTCAAACTTTTACGGGGGTCGAAACCTTCTTATCGTACCAACGTCGGATGGTTCAGCATGGGTTCGCTTGATTAAAATCCCTAGTTGTTCTATTATCTATCCACGTAAACGAAGTGGCAACTCAGTGAACGAAAATTTCACACCACGCGGAAAGTTTAAAGTTCCGGAAAATGGATAGATACAAAGACGAAGGGGAAACTGTATGATGTCGCCACACCTGGGAGTATTCAAATGAATCAGACTACCAGTGAACAGTGCCGTTTCAGCACCCCCAAGTTGGCTAGGGTGAAACCATGAAGTATTGCCCGGGGACATTGTCCGCTGTTGAAGAGTATGTGTTCAGGGGTCTGGAAACATAGTTGTGAGGTGACTCTAGGACTATGGCTGACGCTGCACCAGCACTCAATGTGGCATTCATTCTCGTATCAGACGAATGGTTCTGTGCCGGGGTCAGGTCGTACGTATATGTAACCACTGGTAGAATACGAAACCCTCGTGTGCCATCCGATTATCGAAGGCGAATGTTGACTAAAAAGAACTCAAAGAACGATTACGCGGATGGTTCCACAGTTAGCTGGGTGGTCATGCATTGACTGACGCCTCCCCTGGGCATGTGTATGCTAGAATTCCTGTTGATTCTTCAAGAGCACGTCGCAGAAGGAGGCACCAGCGTAACCCGGAGGAAAGTAGTTCGCATAAAGTCCCAGTAGTTTTCCACTGCCCGAGAAAATCAGTGACAGTGGTTGGCGTTCATTGCAACTTTTTAACCACCGTGAATTGTTTCCCAGCAGTAATGCGGACTAGGTGCCGTTGTGCTACCTGGCGTCCCATGGACCGTTGAGCAATCATACAGCCGAATGGAAAACATCGCCATCAACAACACAATGTGAGGATCAGTTCTGAAGTAGCGGTTATTCTTGGATGCATCCTTTTATCCAGTTTCTACTCTGTTGTAGTCTTCCATCATTTTCACCCGTAATCTAAGGGACGAGTTCATCATCTGAGATTCGTACCTTGGAGGAGCTCATCAAATTCTGCCCGAAAATGGTCTGCGAGTGGCTTCTGGTAAGAATTGAGTACAGCCGTCCAGGAAGCAGGAAATTCTGCCCGTGGTGTTCTCGAGCGTGTACACGGAACTCACTGAACTGAAGGGAGTCTGTGTCGTTTCCTGATGTGGGAGCTATATTCCAAGGCATACTTCTGCTGGATGGCCTGCCCCAAACAGGACAGTAATGTGTACAGAGGTGCAGTGAACCATAGGTCAAGGAACGAAATCGGCCAATTTGGAAGAGAGGGGTCAACCTTGACCAACTCCACTAATTGTCGGCAAGCTCCCCGACAGTTCATTGAACGATCTGATCGGACTGGAGGGATAATATTGAACTCAAACAATGCTTCAGAACTTTGAGAACACGCTCTTCTAATCATTGTAAATAATACTCATTTGTAACACTATTTAGTTGCACAGCTGCCATACCACTTGGCGTTGTGCAAAGGTGTGATCACTGTACCCCATTCCAGGTTGAAATCGGGCTCGATGCTTTCGGACTTGCGCCTCACACACCGAGGGCGGGTGTCGTGATATAAGATAAGTCAGCAGTTATGTTACGGTACGTGTGAGATTTGTGTGCCTACAATTGGAGGAGTCGGTTCGGTTACCGTTTCATACATATTTTCGTCCCCAGGTGCGAACAACCTAGCCAAAGGTTCCGCTCATTGTCGAGAGACACTCATTTAGATCAGCGGACCGATGGCACTTAAAAGTGCTTAAAAATGCTTCATTACCTGAGGGAGTCTAAACTCGCATACTGTGGCTCAAAATAAGCTTATTGAATGAACGACCTAGCTACAGGAACATAGGGCCAAGTAAATAGTTGAGAAAGTTCGACTGAGTGATGTAGCTTTTTGTCTTTTTTAATAATATGGTTCTAATATTTTATTTCGTGGGTGCTACTGAGATCCTATTCTGTGGATGGGCTGGAACAGCTTCGGGCGTTGCCAGCCGCACTGGTCTCTTCCATCTCCCAGACATTCTGGTTTCACCACACCTCTATCCACA